AAATTGTTAAAAATATTAAAAAAAAAAAAAAAAGCAAGATTGAGTAGTCCTGCCACGACAAAGTAGACAAGAGACTAGCGTATTAAAAGGCCAACTTTATGTACATAATACTTTTTTCTTAATGAATCCAAGTCATTTTAGGTCTTCATTTTAGATACTGAATAGGCCTCAAGTTCTGCTGCGACATCTTGGTGGTAGGTCCAACTTAGGCTGTTGTTAGTGGCATTATGATGTTTTGAATATTTTCCTGGGACACTTTAGTACTACCACCCGAGCATCAACACGCAATTAATGCCACAGTTAACTTGAGTATTGTTGATAATCACCATTATTATGACCTCCGTGCACTACTCACCTCGAGATCGGTACTTCCGGCAGGACAAGAAACGGACCGCGGCAGAAAGCTCAAACCATCTCTAACTTGTTTCTTCAACATTACAATGAGTGGTATGCCAGGTCTCAGTCCAACAAAAAACAGAATAAAATCATCTGCAGCAACTGAAAGACACCATGGACTATTATACCAAGATTTTAGATGTCAGGCAGTTCTGAAGGCAAAATAAGGTCCAACTTGGTACTACAAAGTTGCAGGTGAGCCACTGTAAATAATGTTACTGTCCCTTAGTTAGAGGCACTACAAATAACTGTTCCCTTCTGTTTTCAAAAAGTGATTAATGATGTTTTAAATATTGGTATAAGTTCTTTAGAACTGTGGCATTTTTATTTTACCAAAGGCAACAATACCGTGAGAATTACGTCCCTACACATAAATTTGTACACTTTGTGTTATATCAGCTCTAGTTTCCAAGGAGATCTTTGATGTAAAATGCATCAGCTTTTTATTTATTCTATTGTAGGCATGCAGGAACAAAATGTGAAAATAGAAAAGAGGCTGGATTGAGCTGCCATCTTTTTGGTTTCATAGTTGACAACCTGTGTAAATGACTTTGTTGGTGTTTATTCGTTTCCTCATTTGGCCAAGAGTTATTTGTTGCCTTTGCGGCCGATGCTTTTGTTTTGACGGGGCTTTGAGAGGCAGGGTTGCTAGGTGACTGACACGGGAGCTGCAGACTAACTGACAATTAACTGTTTTGGACATAGGGCAGAGAGTAAGAGAGTGTACTAGTCACAGTTAAAGGGAGATAACTAAGGAATAGTCCAACTAAGGTCTAAACAATTAATTAGTTAGCGCTTGGTTGATGAGGGAACAAAGTGAGTGTTTTGACGAGAGCATTGTTGAGCGTAATGTTTATGTTTCGACATGAAATAGTGTTAATATTTGATTAACTGTCGAACAGTTGAAATATGTTTTAGTTAATTTGTAATACAGAAATATTATAGTTACTTAAATACATGTATTGTAAATTTAATATTACATAAAGTAAGGTTTATGGGTTAAGGTAAAAGGTTAGAACCACTAAGAGTTACTAATGGTATTTTATCTGTATGTTTGTAGCTCTTACGGTGTGTTCATGTACAAAGGCTGTTGAATAAAGAAACGTGAACCATCAGTTAGAGAGATCATCCTTTCAACCGGGACGCTACAGCCTGTGATATGTTGAAACTTTGCTGCACATCAACTGACCAGATGGAGACCACGTTTTCTCAGTTTATTGCCAGACCTTAAAAAAAAAAAAAAAAAAAAAAAATTTTTTTCCTGTTGGGAATGATAAAATTTAAAGCTGTTTTTTTGAGTGAAGGGAGTTTTTTTT